TGCGTTCCCTCAATTGAATCAAGCTAGATCTGATCTCTTATTCTTGTTGCGGATTTGTCTCGCTTATACCAGTTCTAGGGGTCCACCAGTATCTTCGTCCATTAAACACATGCACAGACCTCGGAGGGGTAGTGGCATGGAGGTGATTCATCTGTTGGTTGTGTTTCGACCTATTCTATTCATCTCTAAAATTTTGGTATCATGCCGACAGAATGCGATCTATTATCTTGTTGAGGACGTTCTGCGGGCTCGGGATAGCGAGGCGGAAATAACGCAGATAGGTAGAGATAGGTTCATTGGTGCGGCAGTCTGTCGAAGTAGATGGCGCCTAGCCTAAGCAGCGGGGATTATGCATGTCCTATCACCACTGTTCAGGTAGAAGCATACTTGAACTCGACATTAAAGTAACAAGGGTTATCCCCTGAGAATACGACTCTTTAGATGCGCTGCAAGTTGGTCACTAATGTCGAAAAATGTGACACAACGCGGTGTTGGTTTGCCGAGACCTACTTTGCATTTGAAATCTACTTAAATACACACCATATCAGCACCATGACGAAACTGTAAACGAAATTCTCGTGCTCCCTGCAAATGACAACCCGACAAGTGTTACTCACTTGTAGCGTGTCCCTTGCTACACGCAACTGTCAGTTGACGCAAGGTCGCGCTCCTGGAAGATGATGGTGGTGAAGGACGGTCCAGAATCGGAGTCGACTGCGAGTTGAGCGTCACGTTCTCGGACACCAAGGATGAGACGTGGTCCTAGCACGAACATCTGCACGAACAACAAAACCTGAAGAACACCATAATAAACTCCAGTGTCCATGGTGAATGACTCCTACAGAATTTATGAACATTGTCACAGGCGCACGAACTCGATGATATATCAGCTTACATATAACTTTGGAGAGAAACCACCAAGGCCAAAGGAAAAAAACAGCAACAGAACTAGAGTATAAAAAACTTCAGCGGAAAAGATGACCACATTCAAATTAGAAGCTCACAATACGAAATAAATCATGTGATTTTTTGTCAACACTATGAGACAGTTTGCGATGGTTCCTCCCGTGGTTAGTTGTTGCACTTCACGGAAGTGTTTTACAACAATCCAGACTGCAAGACACAGTACAAGGACCTCCCATACAGTGCAGAGTATCCAAGTCATGGAAATCAGAAGTATGGCGGCTCCTCCGTAGTCATATTGACATAGATAGTAGGAGCCGGACAGGACAGACTCCTCTAATATTCGACCGATGAGCCCTACACGCTTCAGTCTTCCATTTATAATTGAAGCTTACCTCCAGAAACATGGCTGTTTACTATTGCGGTGAGCACTGCGCAGGCGATCGTGACAGGTAGGAAGATTGCAATGAGAAAGATAAGCATCTTTCTCGATCGTTGATACATAGCATGTAACCGACTGCTCACAATGACTTGCATGATATTTTCATTCGGGTCAATATCACTGAGGTATTGGAGTTGGGTAGCTTACCGCACAATATGGCAATTATCACCACAGACATCCAATTTTGTGCAAAGTACGTGATATTGCCTGAAAGATCCAGTTAGCGATGAGCGTAGGAGGATCAAGAGACTCACAGCTGTTGAAGTCGGTTTGTTCAACCAACAAGGCAGTCGAGAATTTTACTCACCCCTACATAGGATTAAATGAGAATGACAGGTACCAGTGCAGGATACTCACTGCATCTGACACCGAGACCGACGGAAGACTTGCTGTAGGCTACAGGTCAGAAGAGACAAACACAGCGTATGTGAGGAGACATACACAGCATGACAACGCTAGTTACGATAATGGCTGATTAGCACAGCGCCAACTGGTAAGCCTTGCAAACATACACGGTGTATGGCAGTCCAGCGTAGCGCACCTAGAATGTGTTGAAGTCAGCACAACCGGCTAACCGCGCTTGTAACATAAGCCACGTACAATGAGATATAGAATAGTCATGTGGGACCAGCGTTGTCTCTGCCTCGTGTTAGTTCTACACACTCGCTGTCGAGAGGGCATCTGCTCACCCAGATCAGTTCAAACTATAAAACCATTGTTAGTGAAACGGCTGCTTGCTCCGGTAATAGCATCAACCTACCTCTTGTCCAAATGTCAGCGCTGGAAATATCGTGAGCACACCAGTGGTTCCACAATACTGTCTTGCTCACCCCAATCATATGCGACTGCAACAAAGGAGGCGACTGCAAAAACGTGGTCGAGGTCAGATCAAGGTATCAGCAGCGCCCTCCACGAACCTAAAAAATAGCTGGACAAACGATATGAATCAATTAAGGGCCACGAATTGGGGTCATTTGATACTACGGTCATATTGGAGGGAAGGGTTTGAGTGAGTGTGGTGGACTCGTTGAACATATGACGATGACGTTTTGCGCTAGATATACCACTATTTGGCGCTTTTGTCGTCAAACAGGCCATATGTAGTTTCCTGCCCGATCGGTTAATAGAAGTCTTTGAAATCAAATTGAACATGCAAAACTTGTGCAAAGCAGTGTTGAACGCGAGGAATACAACACCTCGAAATTTCAAAAAGCTGTTCGTTAGTTACGGAACTTGAGCTTGATTCCCGATCGCTTCACACACTTACATCAGTTTAGGACAAAGGAGTTCCATAGCATCACATGACAGCGGCTATGGGGTGATGCAGCTCATGCTCTCGCCCTCTGCCTCGGTTATCGGGCTATAAGAGTGTAAGTATAGTGTGACTCTGGTGCAAAAGCGGTGCATAACGCACGAGTAATCCATCAAGCACATGGTGCATCAACTTGCACAGCTAAATGTCCGTTCTGGTTGGCAACCCACGACTACTCTGGTCGACATATGTCACACTATCCCGGACAGCTCAAACGAGAGCCACAAATTACTGTGGCGCCGGGAAGCCCGACTCACCCGTTCTTAGAATATTAATGTTACAAGACCCTTTACATGCAACGTTTTAGCCGTTGCATGTCCTGAGTGACCTTTTACTCCGCCTTGATTCCTCCGTATTGAAATACTTATGCCATCATTCATTAAATAGAACATGATATCAGCCAAATAACTCACCATGTGAGAATATCACGGGCAGCGCTAGAATCCGCGAGGTCACTAGTCTGATGGTTGCACCCTCGGAAATGCAGGACGAGTCCTAGTAGTCCAAAGATGTCAGATACAAGGACCGCGTATCATCACATCATGCAATGTTTTCAACATTTGTCATTGCGGTATATCATGAGAAAGTCACTCTTTGCCACGCCGACGTCCTGATCTGCAATTGCATTTGTTTGGCAAGGCCCCCCAACTTGATCCAAACAACAAGAAGTTCCCATTGAAAGCTGCCGGTGGGCCGTAACGTTAGTAGTACAACTTACACGGTGAACACCTACATGATGTGTCCTGAGCGCTCAAGTTAGATTGCCAGAAACAAGAGCCATCGCAAACCCAGCCACGGTACTGACCCTGGCATCTCCTCAACTAGCTAGTACTGGCTGTAGCAGCAGTGTAGCTACAGCTTTGTTATCTGCCAGTGCCAACACTGTGAATCTTTCCCTCGTCGTTCACTCTTGAATTCGATCATCCGATGTATCCGCGTCCGAAGTTTCGAAGGTAGTATACTTACTCTGCCCCGTGTTGTTTCCACGATCTAAGTTAGGACTTACCCTTTTGTACCATAACAGCCATGTAAATGTACTCGACCTCGGGCTGGACGGTCACCCGCTATTCACTACTGTTTCTCTGTACACAATCCCTCTAGCTTGTTTGCTACCGGCGAGCACCACACACCTCTCCAGTATTTTTGCACGGCTTAAATTCGTCTGGTGACATTTTATCCAGTTGCTGTATCGCTTCCCTATTACATATCTGCCATCCCATTGTTCCACTGGCAGCATTCCACACGCATGACGAAACCTGTATATGGATGTATTCCGTGACATATACTGTTGATCCCGGCGTTCTCCCTATCGGATCATACCATTCAAGGTCGGGGACTTCGAGGTCTACCAAGTACACCCATCATCCCTACTTCAGTCTCCCCAACATGATCCGCATTGCCAGTAGCATAGCCTGCCTAGGGACTCCGAGGACTCACAAACCACTACAATAAGTTCAATCAACTGACGTCTAGTTTGTTCTCAAGGGAACAGAATACAAGGTGTACGTCGATGCTTTGGCTCATGTACCACTCGAGACAAAACCAGCGTCCGGCACACGCACTGTTCCTTGGCCCACTGTGGTTGAGTAACTTCATCCTCAGTGCAGACTCCACGACGTACAGAACGCACTAACTGTTTCGCGAGAGCGAGCCCAATAAGTAGCAGAATGGAACAAATGAAGTACAAGGCAAGCCTGTATCGTATGAAATCTGTAGGAAGTGCATAGATCTTCAGTCGATCAACATAAGTTGATTGATAGATACAAAGGCAATGCAAACTACTACTGTTCCCGATACTTGTGCTATGATGTGCCGTGTGCAACACAACTCAAGTCCAGCTGCGGGACAACATTGGGTATCACTAGCGTGTTGCCCGGGGCATACATATGATACATCGCGGATGGGTAGAAAGTGAGCGGGATCCAGAGGAGAAGCCGTCCCTCGGGGCATACAATCCACCCCTCCTCGTTTGGGCCTAATGGGCCTGGGGTTTCAGCACCTTGGAGAAAGGAGGCGGCGGAATGAAGGGCATGAGTTGGGTTGGATGAAAAACATATTGTAAGTGTTTCAAATGATGGATGCCGGATTAGAAATTCCAGATCCCACACCCGGATGGTCTTGTCAGATGACCCAGACACGATGCATCTGCCATCAGGCGAGATTGCGACAGACTAAACGGGTCCGGTGTGCCCTCGAAAAGGGGCATCCACTGCCTCGCCAGTGTTATTGTTCCACACCCGGACGGCCTGGTCATCTGAACCAGACACGATGCGATCACCATCTGAGGAGATCGCAACAGTGTTAACAGAAGCAGTGTGGCCTTGGAAAGGCGTGCCCAATAGCTCACCAGGCCTCATCCCACACCCTGATGGTCTTGTCACGTGAATCAGACATGATGCGACATACATCCGGCGAGATTGCAACAGAGAGGACATAGTCAGTGTGGCCTGGGAGACAGGCACTCGATGCCTTGCCAGTTACTATGTCCCACACCTGAATTGTCAAGTTGTCATATGAACCAGACACTATGCGATTTCCATCCGATGAAATTGCGACAGACCAAACCCAGCGAAAGTGGTCACTGAGAGGATATGCCTCGCCAGCATCGATGTGCCACCACACCTAGATTGTCAAGTCGTCTAAACTAGACACAATACAGCTTCTGTCCGGCGAGATTGCGACAGACCGGACATAGTCAGTGTGACCTTGGAGACTAACACCCGATGCATAACTGATGAACGGTCGTTCAGTGCGCGCGTCAGCAACAAACTCAGAATATGTACACGCACCATTCGATCCAAACATTCTACCCACCATCATGATGTCCACTCAACTTTCAGACTGACGGAACAGTCATATACATAAACACCCTCGTCTATCAGGTTTTCAAGATCGTGTAAAGGATCGTGGAACTCGGACGCCATCACGTACCGTGCGGGCCGGAGAGAGCAGCTTTAGATGAGGACAGTTTGGAGCGCTTGGAAGGCCGTGCGGGCGCATTAGAAGTCCTTCGTGAATAAACAGGGAGAAGACGTGTCCAGAAACGGATGGCACGACGCTAGTAGCACTAGTATGATAGCAATGAGGATGAATTTGAGAGTCTTGTGGCTCCGATGATCATAATACCTAGTAGAAACTCAGTGTGGGACTGTATGGCCAGGTGCGACGGGATACGATTATTTTACGTTTGTATTGTAGTTGATGTGGTGAAATAAGGAGGACGATGTCGATGAGTCACGAAACAGTTTCAACGCATCGTATTGTCATATCTTGCATCACGTCGGCTCGACTGCTCGTGACTTTGCGTCTTTGTTCGTTTACTATGAGGCTGGAAACCTGATTCTCGCACAGAATGCATCCAGCTGGACAATGGGTGCTAAAGCACTTTCGAGTCATCAAAGTCATCAGCCACTGTTGATGACACGAATTAGAACTACCATTGTGAACTTGACAGTCCCACTGGTAGAGGCGTCACATGCACATGCGTCCATATCATCAGCAACGGTGTTTCCGTACCAGATCGACATCACGAGTCTCTGGCTGTCTCTGATGAGATGTTTCTTAACATCCCACCTACGTGTGAGCTAGTCTAAGTAATGATCTTTGCAATATGATATTCTAGTTCTGTTATAAAGAAAATATTGACTTGTTATAAGTACTTCACTCGTGCTCCCTGAAGACAATTACTCACCAAGTGATCATCACTTGGAGTTTCTCCAGTGCTACGTATCCCTGTCAGTTGACCGGTTTAACACGTGGACGCACTCCTGGAAGGCAATCGCAGATATGCCCGTTTCTGCATCGGAGTCAGGTATGAACTTAGCATGATATTCTCGAACGCTAAGGATGAGGCGTGGACCCAACACAAACAACTGCAAGCTCCAGAAGAATTCAAGAACAGCAAAAATATATCCCATGGAGGACGCGTCCTATGGAAATGAATATTAGTCGTATGCAGATCTGATAGGTCGGCGTACAATAGTTGCGGAGTCATAGACAAGTTGGAAGCAAGAAACAGTGGCAAAGCTAGTATGTGCATACCTTTAGCACGAAAAAAACAACCACATTCGAGTTACGAGCTCACCTTGCAAAGTAAGCCACGTGAGTTTTCATTAACACCGTGAATAAGTCCTCTATGGTCCATATATTTGATGGTTGTCGCAGTCCACGGAAGTATTTTACGGCTATCCAGAGTGCAAGACACAGTGCAAGGGCCTCCCACATTGTATACAGTGCCCAAGCCATGGAATCCATGGTTCGGGCGTCTCCCTCCCAGACATAGGTGCACTGATAAGTCCCGGAGAGGATGTATTCCTCTGGGATTTGTCCGTGAGCATGTGAATTTGTCTATTGTCCATAATTTAAAACTTACCCCCTGGAGTATGACTGGCTGCTATTGCTACCATCACTCCGCAGGTTACCACGACAGGCACGAAAATTACAACAAGAATCATGAGCACCCTGCTGGATCCCAGATACATGCCATGTAACCGGGTGATCAAAACAACTTGTATGATGGTTCAATCAAGTCAATATCGCTGAGGTAAGTATCGCAGCTGAGGAGCTCACCGCCCAGAATCGCGTTGACAATCATAGCCAACCCATTTATTGCTGCATAGATAATATTGCCTGAAAAATTCAGTCACCGATCAGCCTCGGACGATCAATTGCTCCAAAAACGCACTCACATCTATCGTAGTCGTTATATTGAACCAACAAGCTGGTTGAAAATCTCACTCACCCCTACATAGGAGTACATTTAATTGCATGGGATTCAGAATGACAATAATTGGTGCTGAATACGCACTTCATCTGTTGTGGAGACCGACGGAAGAACTCCTGTATATTGCTGGTCAGAAGACAAACATGGTGAATGTGAGGAGACATACGCAGCGTGGACAGGCTGATCTCAAAACATGTGCTATTAGTACAACTTCCACTCATTACTATTGGAAACCCACACAACATATGGTATTCCAGCATAACGCACCTAGAAAATTTTGGTGTCGGCACAATTTTCCAACCACACTTATTGAGCGACGTACCGCGAGATATAGAAAGGTCATGAGGGACCAGCGTGGTCTCTGCCCGTATTAATTGCATCGTCGCGTTGCTCATTTGATAGTATGGAACATTACTCACCCAGACTAGTTCAATCTGGTATTAAACCATGCTTAGTGTGATGGTTTCTCCGGAGATGACATCAACCCACCTCTTGTCCAAATGTCAGCGCTGGAGGTATCAATAAGGATATCGTTAATTCTTTGAGACTACCTTGCTCACCCCAATCATATACCACCGCAGTAGCGGAGGCAACTACAAAACCAGAGTCAATGCTATATCAAGCTTGAGCATGACCGGCTCTCCACGAACCTACAAAATAGCTTGAATAACGAAACGAAACAATTAGCGGCCACCAACTAGGATCATTTGAGATCAGCGTCATGTTCGAGGGACGGTGTGAGTGAGTGGCGAACTCGATGGACGTATCATGAGTCCAGCGTTTTTGTCAGGCTTTTTTTCCCTGCATTGGCTTATGGAGATAAGTATTGTCATTGAAAGTCCGAAATATTTTCTGTAATAAGAACAAATAGGGCCCCGCCTTTAATTACATCATGTGGAAGTAGATCTTTTAGGATGTTGGTTACGATTTTGCAACAGAAATATTGCATGCGCAGACCCAGTGACTGTGAGAGTAACAGCTCGTCCGAGGTCCCTCAACACGGTTGCAGTCTGTAATCACCACAGCAAAAGTCAGAAATGCACGATATAAAGGTTGCAAACGAAACATGCAGATAAAACACCTCTCCTATCCAACATGTCGATGCCTAGGTCCTCAGCCTAATCTACCAATGCTATATGCAAGGGTAGTGAAACCAGATGGAAGATGCAGGTCACTATGTACATCCGTCAAGCATGTGTTGCATTGGTGGTGCACCGTGTGTCAACTACTCATCCTGAGTGACAGTTGGCGTTTTTCTGGTGAATATAAGTAGCTATCCTTAGCTCGAACAGAAACGAGAGGCCACGAGTAGAAATGAATCAAGGATGTTTGGGAAATTGAATTGTTACTCTCGGGCCAGCGTGGCAATCGTGAGATGTTGATGGTTGTGTTTACGAGGCGCGTATCGGAACGACGGAAACAGAACCAATGATACAGCCTTGGAATGGAAGAAAAGGTGCACGATGTCCTGAACGTGTGACTGCCTGTACTACATGATAGGGTGAGTAGGGCCAGGTGAGTTTGAACTTTGCGAGGAAGTTGATGATTATAGTCACAAGCCACACGTGATCTTAACTTAGGCTTCTGTGAGCATAGATGGCCAAATAAAAAAATTCATTCTCAAAGTAATTATCATGTAATGATGTTTTGAAGTTGGTCTGGTCATGTTTCTCTTCCGAGTCTAGCAGCTAGCTTCCCTGCATTCCGAGACTGATCTTGGCACATTGTGAAGGTCTGGCACCTTTTCTGCCCCCGATCTTTTGGCAATCTGAAACTCCCAAAGTCAAACACTGACCTCAATCATTCTTCTCAGGGTCCTGACCTTCCCCAACGAGCTTGAAGCTTTCGCGATTCAAAGAATTTCAAACAAACTCTTCTCATAGGCCATCGGTTCATCTCCAACATGTTCCCAAAGATTGTCTTTACTCCTCATACAATAGATCACATCTGCGCACTTAACTCGATACATCATCATCTCCAATCTTTCCAAGTCAACGTGACAACGTTGAGCCGCCCGATTCATATCCCGATTAATGAATTTTCTCTTTCTTAGACTCTCGCTGCTCCATTGTACGTGCACCTGCATATGACAGACGGTCTGCAACTGCTATATCCGCACTGATGGCACATATGCCTTATCACATCACTGTGCTGCAATGTCTCTGCCAGCGCCTCGATCCCAGACATCCAGTGCACTCTGCACATGCAGCACCGCCATATTATTCACTTGTGATCGTCAAACTGATGAATCTTGTGTGCAAAGTTGGGATGGGCGCCGGCGTCTCGAGGTATATAAAAGATCCCTCATGAAACATTACGGAGCATTCCCGCACGACAGCGTCACTCCAGTGATAACTGCCAACAAAGCAGGGATGGATATGCACACTGTCGTAGTAGAAGTAAGGGGGTTAAGATCGCTGTGCTATGAGATCGTGACTCGTAAAGTTCATCGATGTCAAGTAGCGAAAATGAATTTACATACCTCTCTAAGTATCAGCACCAGGGCGGTTGGTTGCGAGACCTTCCGGATAATTTCAGCTTTGGTGTAAGCATGGATAATTAGCATAATATTGTTTGGCCAAGCGTAGTTCTCTTTCCAACTTCGACAGAAAAAATAAGTATTGCGACAAGACTCCAACCAAAATATCGTGCTCCCTGCAAATTACTACCCGACCAGTGCTACGCACTACTGTCGGTGGACTCATGCACAGGCTCCTGGAATTCAATTGTGGCCATGCTGGTTCGTACGTCGGAGCCGGCCACGAGTTTAGCGTTAAACTCTCGAACACTAAGGATGAGGCGCGGTCCCAACACGAACATCTGCGTGAACGACATAATTTCAAGAACACCATAATAAACCCCAGCGCCCGTGGATAATGAGTTCTATAGGAATGATTAACAGTGTCACATTCACACGGACTCAGCAACAGATCTACGTACTGCGAGTGATGGTGATAGATACCCAGCATTGAAACAAGACACAACAATAAAGCTAGCAGGTGGCAAGCCTTAGCTGACAAAACAACCAAATTCGAACCATGCGCTCACCTTACAAAGTAAAGCATGTGAGTTTTGATTAGCACCGTGAAACAATCCCCGACGATCTTTCCCGCCGATGATCGTGACCGTTCACGGAAATGTTTCACATAAACCCAGAGTGCAAGACACAGCGCGAGGACCTCCCATATAATGCTGAATATCCAAGTCATGAATATCGGAAGTTCGGTCGCTCCCGTATCATATGTGCACATATAGGTGCCGGATAGGATGAGTTCCTCTGATATCGGCCCGATAAGCCTGATGTGATTGGAGTCTTCCGTTTAAAACTAAAGCTTACCTCCCAAAACATGAATGTTCACTATTTCACTGACTACTCCACTGGTGACCGTGAGAGACGCGACGATCGCGATGAGAAAAATGAGCATCTTTCTGGATTGCTGGTACATAGCATGTAACCGAGTGATCGTGATGACTTGGATGGCATGTCGTTCGGGTCACATCACAGAAGTAGTGCAGTTGGGTAACTCACCACACAGCATAGTGTTCACCGAAAAAGTGGTCCAGATTAGTGCGAAGTACGCGGTATTGCCTGAGAAAAACAGTTAGCGATAAGCGTAGGAGGACAAAAAGACTTACATCTGTTGCAAACGTTATCTTTAACCAACAAGACAATCAAGAATTTCACTCACCCCTAAATAGAAGCGCAGGTAAAATTTTGAACGGGAATTACAGACACCAAGGCAGACTACTCACTTTATCTGTCAATGGGACCGAAGAAAAATTTGCTGTGTGTCATCAAGTCAGAAGAGACAAATACAGTGTGGTGAGGAGACGTACTCAGCACGAGGGTGCTGGTTGTGGGAGACGGCTGATTAGCACAACCCAGTTGGAAATGGTCAGCCTTGCAAACCTACATGGCGTATGGCATTACAGCATAGCGCACCTAGAATATGCTAGAGTGAACACAATGTTTCAATTGCACTTATAACATCAGTTACATACACCAAGATACAGAATGGACATGAGGGACCAGCGTTGCCTCTGCCCCGAGTCAATTATATTATCCCGCTGTTCTTCTGATGGGGTACTCTGCTTACCCAGACCAGTTCAAACTATAAAATCATTGTTAGTGAGATGGCTCGTCCGGTAATGACACCAACCTACCTCCTGTTCGAATGTGAGTGCTAAAATATCATGAACATGTCAGCAATTCCTTAATATCATCTTACTCACTCCAATCATATACGACTGCAGCAAAGGAGGCAACTGGGAGATCGCGGACAAGGTTAGATCAAGGCATCACCGACATCGTGGGACTGGCTCTCCACGAACCTATAAAATAGCTGGCAAACCGGGAGAGATTGATTAGCGGCCAAAAACTGGGATCGTTTGAGACGATAGTCATATTCAAGGGATGAGCGCGAGTGAGGAACTTGGTGGTCTCATAATGATGGCGTTCCTGCTATATTAATAGTGCCGTGGGCAGAAATGAGTTCTGCCAAAAGAACGGCAGAACAGCAATTGGCAGAATGGCAAAAATCGGCAGAAATGTTTTGCGTGTTTTTGCGTGTTTCTAGAGTGGTTTGCGAGGCATTGCGGCAACACGGATCTTTGTTCCTTACTGATTGGCTGAAGTAAGTATCGCGGTCAACTAGCTTAAGAGTTGCTTCAGGTGCCTTTGATGCTTTGGGATGATTTTGGTTGTGAATTTGCAAAGCAGTAACAAATACG